AACTTCCTGTCTCTTTCCCTACATTTCCTGTCTAGTTCAAGAGCTCAGCGCAGAGTCTGTCTACCTCCCAATCTTATCCTCACAACAACAACCCTATAAGGTAGATCAGGCTTTGAAACAATAGCTGGCCAAAGAGCTCCACATAGAGTCGCCAACTTCCTGGAGATCTATTATTAAAACCATTCTCCAGACAACCAAGATCAGTTCCCCTGGAGGAAATGGCTGCTTTGGAGAGTGGACTCTATGGCATGATACCTGGCTGTGGTACCTCCCCACCCCCAAAATCTCCAGGTATTTCCCAACCTATAGCTGGCAACTCTAAACTCCTCCCGTGTGGACACTCGGCTATACCACACTGGTTCTCAATTCAGCATTCAATTTTTTCCCAACAAAAAGTAAATCTGTAGTCATTTTTTTAAAAACTCGGGGAATTGTGAGGAAATAATTCAAACAGGACTGTGCCCAGTTGCTCACAAGTGAGTAAAACCTCCTCCTGGCTTCCTGTGTTCTGACCGGTAAATGCACACAGGTAAATTCTGACAGGTAAATGCACACAATGCTTGGCAGCCATTCCTTCCTGATGTTTCATAAGAAAGGACATGTATCTATGTATTTATTTATTTATTATAGAAATGTTATATAATATATATAAAAATATTTTAAAATATAAATATTTGTATAAATAAATAAATAAATGTAAGACTTCTGCCGCTGCCACATGTTTCAACTGTATGAAAAATGAAATTGCTACGTGAATGAAATAACTTTAAACGTGGATATGTTAGGGTTCTAGGACTCTGAACAGCAGGAAATGTTGGCTCCAGGGTCCTTAACAAATACATCCTCCACTGAAAGTAGCACCTGAGCATGTAACAGAAGCTCCTTTTGCATTATGAATCAATTTAGACCTCTTTTAAAAAAGATTTTTTTTCTCTCAAGAGCGTACTTGAGTGACACTCATTGTTACTAACATGATAACCCCCAACTGAGCTAAAGCCAGTTTGCCCGCTGTTTGAAATTATGCCAGCAGGGAATAAACTGAGAGTAAAGCTGAAGTGGAATTTACTGCAGAATGAAAGCCAGAATTAATTCAGAGCATTTCTATAGCAGTCGACCTTACACCAATCCTGTAAGGTAGGTCCATTATTATCATCACAGATTGAAGCAGCCTGGTGGCTTGGATCATCCATTCAGCAGTGGCCCTGGCGTTGAGATAGACTCCTTGCATGGTAGAACCTCATCCACTATTCAGCGCTGCAGACAGCCAGGAGAAAAAAATGGCCTGCCTCTTTAAGTGTGCGACACGGGCGGGGTTAAGGTTTACATCTTTTCATGTCATGGAGATAACAGTGTCACCTGGTAAGCAACATCCCATTAAGCCTGTTAACGGGACGAGATATTTTGTTTTTCTCCGGGTTGTTCGCAACTCTATTGCTAGTGGAACCGATCCACAGGATCCTGCCCGATGATGTCATATTTGAGCTAATATTTGAAATTTTGACTTCCCAGCTTATGTCCTTAGTCTCTGGCTTGGCAGCTCAGTTGGCCTGAGAGGAGGAGGAGGAGGAGATTGGATTTACACCCCGCCCTTCACGACACAAAGGAATCCCAGAGCGGTTTACAATCTACTTTCCCTTCCCCTCACCCTGTGAGGGAGGTGGGGCTGAGAGAGCTCTTTCGAGGACTGCTCGTGAGATAACAGCTCTGAAAGAACTTGTGACTGACCCAAGGTCACAACCGCACCTGCATGTGGAGGAGTGGGGAATCAAACCTGGTTCTCCCAGATTAGAGTCCACACTTCTAACCACTACACCAAACCGGCTCTCTTCTTCTTTTGCAGTGTGTGTGGGGGGGACGCTTTGGAGCTGCCCAGAGACCCTCCCCCACACCCCCGCAGGAGGCCTTTTCCCAGCACCTACTTGAAGAAGTCTTCCTTGCAATAGACGCTTCCGGCTCTGGAGAAGCAGCGGTCAGCCAGCTGCATTTGGCAGTCGGCGCACTTGAGGCAGGAGCTGTGCCAGTGGCGGTCGAGGACTTTCAGGATGAACTTATCCAAGATGTGCTGGTTGCAGCCGGCACACTGGGGGATCTCTGGCAGAGGAAGAGAAAGAACAACACTGTCAGCAAAAGGACAAGGCAAAAACCCCTCTGCAGAACAAGAAAATACTGCAAGGAGCAAGCAGACTGAGCCCGAAATGGCAACCTCCTGCTGCAGTTTTGGAATTCTCCAAGCAGCACTAAGTCCAGTGCACCGGATGCAGCACCCCAGAGAAAGGAGGTGTCGCCTCGTTTTGGGGATTATGCCATGCCGCCTGCATTGACCCTGTGAGCTTGCCCACTTGCCACTTGAATTAGCCTGCTGCAGGGGGAGAGCTGCCATGTGACTTGTAGCAGCCAATGGTTGAGGTCAGCTCTGCCACAGAATCCCGTCTCTGAGTCGACCTCCAGGAATCTACGTCTCCAGGTCAGCTCTGGCACGCGGACTGCCTCAGTCTTCTGCTTTGTTCTGTGCAATGGGCTTGATGTTTCTGTGACCTCACTCTGCGGCAGTGAGACATCCCCCAGCTGTCCTGTCAAAAGACTGCGCAATGTAGACAGTCTTTTGTGGTGTTGGTCTTAGACCATTCAGAATAGATATGACGGTGTCATTTCTTTCTGCCGGGGTCCAAGCGTGGGTGGATAGGAGCTTGGGCCACTGTGGATCCCAAGGGGCATGAGAATTTGTACCAACAAACACCCTTTCCCTTATCATTGGACTCAGAATGAGGCACTGTTCTACCTGAGGAAGAGTTCTGTGTTGTCCAGAAACCTCCATATACAAAAGTCGGTCTGTTTAAAGGTAGCATTGCTTATTTTTATATAATTTAGAGGTCTGGTCTCTAGTTGACCGGGTTACTTGTTACTAACAATGTTCTAAAAATCCTCCTTCAGCCATCTATGTGTCCAAGTCTCCCCAATCCCACTGGGCACAACCATAGGAGGAGAAAAACCCTTTCCCCCACTGTAACTCTCCTCCTGCCTCTATCAGATTCCGCCACCCCAGCCAGCTGGAAATTCTGTGATCAACTCATACATCAAGTGGCAGCTTCTCAAATGAAGAAATAAAGAATTAGTGGGGGAAATGGCTGAGCACTGGATGTGATTGAAAGTCAGGAAATCTAGTCCTCTGCAACAAGAAAAAATAATTTTTCCAATTCAAAATTTTTATTTTAAAAAACGGAGTTTCGCAGTCAGACTAGAAGTTTAGACAACATGATATAAATAGAATTTAAAAGTTTCTATCCAATTCACGTTCCAGGAACAGGGTAACACCTATTTTTTATCTTTACAATTTAGCAGATTAGGAACCTAGGAGAACTTTTACATTAATGCGCTGGAATGCCTTGCCCCCTGCAGTCCTTGAAGGAAGATATTTTTTAAAATCCCATTAGAAGAATGACTATGTCCCTGTGGTGATGGGAAAATAGAAACATTAGAACATGTCATCTTCGACTGTAAGATGTATAATCAGATACGTGAAGTTTACATAATGCCCATACTTCTGGCTTACCCAGAGAGCTATACTTCTTTCCAAATTGCTTTCTGACAAGAATCAGGACATAGCATACAAGGTTGCCAAATATGGATGAATGGCACTGAAGAGTAGGAAATCTCTAACCAGGGGTCATTTCCTGCAGGAGCGCACAGGAGCGGAGCTCCGGCAGTAAAGAGCCCAGGAGGCGGGCACATGCAACAAGCCCCACCCGCTGCTCCTTCTCTCCCTCTTTCTTTCCCTCTTTCTTTCCCTCCCTCTTTCCTTCTATTTCTTTCCTTCCTTCTTTTCCTCCTTTTTTCCGTCTTCTGTCTTTCTTTCCCTCCTTCTTTCCTTCTCTTTCTCTCTCTCTCTCTTTCTCTCTCTCTCTCTTTCTGCACAGATCTATGTGAGGGCAGATGTGCGTTCCGCCTCCCCCCAGCTAGCAATCCAAAACAGTCCAGTGACACCCTTAAGACCAAGTTTTATTCAGGTACAAGCCCTCCCTCCTCTGCGAGGACAGATCTGCGTGTTCCCCCCCGCCCAATAGCTAGCAATCCAAAACAGTCCAGTGGAGCCTGAGCGGTGGGTGTTGCCTTCTGACACACTTTCGGTGATGTCAGGGGGTGTGGCACATGCAAATAAGTTACACTAATGAGTTACCCTAATGAGCTCCTGCACCTCTTTTTCTATGAAATGACCCCTGCGTGTCACATCATTTCACACATTCTAACCATTAACTAGTATATAGAGGGATCTCCCCAATTTTGTTATTTATGAGAATTATGACTCTGTATTTTAACACTGGGGTTCATTTTATGATTGCAAAACTTTCTAGTGTATTATATTGTTTTATACATTTTGTCTCTTTTTCTACCATACTTGCTGGTCTTGGGCCCCGTTCACATGGAGGATTTGCCGCGCTAAAGGCATGAATGTCAGGCGGATTTTCGGGGCGCAATCACACCGCAACATCTGGAAAGTGTAGCGCACCTGTGGCATCCCGTCGAAGATACACAGTAAAAAAACTACCTCAGAAAGTGCACTAGTATCCAGAAAACACGGGGCAGGGGTGGGCGTCTGATCGCGGGAGCGCTAGTATCCCATGGCAGCCGACGCCCGTCCGTGTCCCATCGCAAACCGGATGTTTTCCGTAAGCGCATGCGCACAAACACGTAACTGAAAGTAGTGCTGCTCTGCGGAACTGCGCATGCGCACAAATGCAAAACACTTGCTGCGCCGCTTCTTTGCCATGCTCCAGCATTGCTGTGTGATCGCCAGCTAACAGCCTAAGTACGAAGACTCGAGGGACCATGTGATCGGACTATCGCACTTTATTTTGCTCCGGGGCAAACAGCCCCCCCCCCCGGCGTTATCTGGCCCATATGACCGGGGCCTTTGTAAATTTGTTTGACTAGCAATTTAAATAGGGACTATAGAAGTAAATAGTAACACAGATGATCAATGATATGGGACAAACATGTCAGGGCCATGTGGGGAGGGGAGATGCTAAAACAAACACCGGAGAATGGCTATAGGCATACACTGATTTTCCAAAGGGCTATTGGAAATGAATAAACCAAAGGGAATTTGACAAATTGGAAAAGTCACTGAGACCAACTCTTCACCACCACCCCCTTTCCTAGCTCTATTCTAAATCTTTAGCGATGAATGACAGGGGACTTCTTTTGTTGGTTCGGGTTTTTTTGTCTGCAGCCACTTGGGTGAAAACACAGTGTTTCTTTGCAAGTGAAAGTTGAGGCACTCAGAAGTCTTAAGAAGCAAATGTCTTGATAGCTCAGCAATTCATGCTCAGCAACTGCCACAGAGCAATGCTCCAGGACTCAAATACAGCCTACGAGCCACTATCCCTGTTTTAGAAGAAGAAGAACAGCTCTGAGGGAACTTGTGACTGACCCAAGGTCACACCATCAGCTGCTTGTGGAGGAGTGGGGAATCATACCCGGTTCTCCCAGATTAGAGTCCGCACTCCTCACCACTACACCAAACTGGCTCTAGAATATGTACTCCTTGTTCCACAGTAACATAGGTTCCTTACAACATCTGCTTAAATTAAAGGCTGTATTGGGCAGGGGAAATGCCAGTAGAAAGAGACCAGGCTTATTAATGTCCGATTAAAACAGGGAAGTACTGCTTCTGAAGGGCTGCTTGTGATTTGTGGGCTGTGCATTTCTGAATGGTCAGCAGCTCTTGTTTTGCTGGCCTCCTATCAACAGGACACCCTCCCATCTCCAGGGAAGTACTGCTTCTGAAGGGCTGCTTGTGATTTGTGGGCTGTGCATTTCTGAATGGTCAGCAGCTCTTGTTTTGCTGGCCTCCTATCAACAGGACACCCTCCAGTCTCCAGGTCCCCTCCCCTTCCTCTGAGGGCCCTGGTTCCCAGCACGCTGGTTCTAACGCTTAGGAAAACAGCCTGCTCAGCCTTTAAGGTCCTTTTCAAGCTGCCCCTTGAACCCTTACAGTTCAGGCGCTTCTCCTGTCTTCTCCCACAGCTACTGTTCTTGTTTTAAAAGGGGCCTGGCTTCAGCACCCTTTTCCTTCTGACCACAGAATCTTGTCCCTCCTGGAGCCTTTCCAGACCTCACCAGGAGGATTCCCCCCCCTCCTGGTTAATTCTCAAAGCCTCTGTTTTCTTGGGGAGTCCCCCATTTGGGTAGAGAACCCCCCCGGCTTCGTCTGCGTGTGGCTCTGTTACGCATCCACACAGGGACTGGCCGATTCACTGTTAGATGCATACAAGCAGAAGATCCACAAGGAACTGCAGCAGGAAAAATGAAGATCATGGCATCCGGCCCCATCACTCCTTGGCAAATAGAAGGGGAAGTCGTGGAAGTAGTGACAGACTTCACGTTCCTGGGATCCCAGATCACCGCAGACTGTGACTGCAGCCATGAAATTAAAAGACGCCTGCTCCTTGGGAGGAAAGCGATGGCGAACCTAAACAGCATGATAAAAAGTAGAGACATCACCCTGCCAACAAAAGTCCGCATGGTCAAAGCAATGGTATTCCCAGTAGTCATGTATGGCTGCGAGAGTTGGACGATAAGGAAGGCCGAGCGCCGAAGAATAGATGCTTTTGAACTATGGTGCTGGAGAAGACTCTTGAGAGTCCCTTGGACTGCAAGAAGAACAAATCAGTCAATCCTCAAAGAAATCAACCCTGACTGTTCCCTGGAAGGCCAGATAATGAAACTGAAGCTAAAATACTTTGGCCACCAAATGAGAAGGGAGCACTCACTGGAAAAGACCCTGATGCTGGGAAAGATTGAAGCTTTCCCTTCCCTGAAAGCACCCACAGTCTCTCCCCTTTCCCTGCTTCCTTCTCTCCTTCCCACCCACCAGCCAAACTACCTTTATCTGTCCCCCCGCCCCCATCTTAAGCAGAAAGCTTCCCTCCCCCTGGCAACTTCTGCCTGGGAAAGCCATGGCACAGGTGTGCAGTACCAGCCACCAGACCAGGCCCAGTTGCCTAGTGGGGGATCTGGAAGGAATTGCAGGAGGCACTTCATGTTCCCCTTCATCCCCTTCCCCATGATTCCCTCTGTTCCTCCTCTTGGCAACACCCGTATCCTCTCACCTTTGCCTGATTCTTTTTCTCCCCCCCCAACTACCTTTCCTCTGCTCCCCATCTTCATTAATATGTATTATTTATTAGCTTCCTTTATGCCCCCCTTTCTCACAACAGGAACCCAAATTCTCCTCCATTTTACCTGTGAGGTAAGTTAGCTTGAGAGTATGTCACTGGCCCAAGTTCACCCTGTGAGCTTCCATAGGATAGCGGGGATTCGAACCTGGGTCTCCTGTATCCTAGTCTGAAACCCTGATCCCTGCACCAGACCAGCTTCTGT